AATCAAATTCCAGTGGTAGATTAGTCTTTTTTTCTTTACTCCCATTCAATTCAATATAGACAATCAGACAAATCAGATAGATGGTAATATTTAATCATTTCAGGTTCATGGTACTATTTACTATACAGTAGAACTTTTAGGACCTGTAAGCCCTGAAAATGTCTTTCATTCTCCAATCTAGCTCTATGATCTAGCCTATGCTAGACAAGTAAGATTACAATAAATACTTGAATTCAATGCAGATCTTATTTATAATATAACTATGATACTTTAAGAATCATGTCCATATGTAGCACTGTATCTAAGTATATAGGATAGGATTGTACAACTTATATGCAGTATGATATAGCCTTATTAGGGGTTACATCATTAAAGGAACAGACTCTATTGCCTTTAAAGAGTACTTCTAAATAGACAAACTTGAATAATATAGTATATCTTGAAGGGCTTCTTTATTTTTATTTCATATCTTACAACTGTTTTTTATTCCTGTTTCCCAACTTTGCTTTCATTTTATTTGTTACTATGTTTTTATTTTCACTGTTAATTATCTTAAACATTGCCACTATCTTATTCATATCTGTATTTTTCTAGAAGTCAACCCAGCCATGGACGCTCCTCGAGGTCTCGAGGGGGAGACTGCTAGTCTCCACGTACTGGACAGTGCAGTATATAATACCATACGACCCGATAAAGATGGCGTCACAACTCTTGTTATCGCACTCTCACTCTCCTCCTATATATAATAGCGGTAACAGGAACTGGACGGGAAATGACGAACAAATGGAACAATAAATAAAATATAAAATATAAAAAAACCCCCACGCTTTCAACCAGACATCTTCATGGGGGGGGATATTACTTCGTGCCTGGTGATTCAGCGGTAATTACTTGAATGGCATGGCGGGGCCGATGCATCTCACCCACCAGAAAGAATGCGCATTCTAGATCTTCTCCCTCTTTCCAAGACAGGGGTTATCTTGAAAATTAGAATTATCACTTGCAGAGAGATTGAGTGTGTTGAGGAGTGAGGGGGTACGATGCATACTTGGAAGGGGTGGCTTTATGGGATTTTATTGCTAGTGGTGGTTAACCGTGGGATCCCCCCCCCCCACGCACTATTCTTGCAGTGGTGGGGAAAGAGGCGAGGGTTGGCCGCGGGCAAGAAGGGACCCGGAAGGGGTAACAATTGCGGATGGACAGGGAGATAATGCTGCCAGGAACTGCTCATTGATAAGTAAACCACGCGATATCCATTATGAGAAGAGCCTTGCCCAGGGAACCGTCCCCGATCTCCATACCGGACGCCATGATTCTATCCCCAAATTTGCAACCCCAAAGACCACAGTCACATGTCGAGGTAGCCCCAATGGTTGGAGCCCCTTCACCCTAAAAACCAATTTGCTAGCAAACTTCCTCCTATTCAGAAATAACATCAATCCACAATCCAAGAACTCAATGAGAAATTGGAAATTTAAGTGTTGGTATCATACAAGAGAGCAAGAGTGATTGGACAAGCCAAGACGTCTACCTTATACCTTGACTTGTACCAATAGTGGAAAGAATAAAAAGGTGTAGGATAACCTACCGGAAAGAAAGAGAGAGAAAAAGAAAAGAAAAATACAAAAAATAAAACATAAACCACAACCGTATCAGCTGTGCGCTGTACCACTTCATCTTACACCTCTAGGTAAAAGCAAACCACCCATAGAAAGAAAATACAAAAGACTATTTAGACTAGACGTGAGTTATTCATGATCCCTTGGGTTGAAAATATACCTGGCAGGGAGGGAAGTAAGATACCAGAAGGCCCTTAGCCTGCCCCCCCCCCACCAAAAAAAAAAAATCATTGAAGAGAGGTGCCAAATGAACAGTTCGAGTTGTTGTACAAACATTCAATAGAAGCCTCTCACTATCCTTCCAATCTAGTAGTGATAATCTTATCCCCAACCATAGTGGGAGACATTAACCCTATCTCGGTGACGAAACTGGTAATGTATTTCGGATCAACATAGTCGACAAAAGCCAACCCCTCCTGTGACATGGCGCCTTCAACTCCCTCGGGGTCAAAAACAATCACATTTTGCTTGACGGGTATCATGTACTGATCCACAGGGAACATGTCCACAAATTTGTGGGTTTCCGTAGCGACGTAGAACGGGCGGTCAATGTTCCTTGCTGCGAGGGCGACATTTTGAGTTCCCATCTAGGGTAAACGAAAAAAAAAGAAAATTCATTAGAACCCAATCTGTCCCCAGTGTAAGCATAGCTAGATTGGAGATCGGTGCATACCACATTGATAATACTCGCATCCGTGAGAGTCCCTTCAGCACCGACAAGGGCAAAGGTAGCTTTGTTCATGGCATATGTAACTGCATTGTCGTCGATCACAGCAACCGAGATCCCAGCGGCCCTGAGCTCCTTCGCAGTTCGCAGGCCCTGGCAACTGGGACGTGTCTCGGTACAGATAACTTTAAACTGCCTGCCCTCTTCCCTGGCGTTGAGAAGAACAGCCATGACACACCGACTGTATCCATGGACAAATATGACGGGGTTATTCATGACCATCTTGAGACCATTCTCAGCGACTATGGATCGAGCCTTGCGAGCACGCTGGGCAAACAAATGACCATTCGACTGAAGCTTCCTCTTGAAGGTGTCAAAATCGCGAGGGTCGTCATGGGAATGGCGTGTAATAAACTTTGTGAATAGATCGCACCCAGCTGTTAGGGAGATCGCGTTTGGCACTGCCTCCTTCAGAGTGTCGGAGCCGATCTGGATGGTTGATAAGAGCTCGTGAATAGTATTGGCTTCAATGCCGTCACAGAGAGCACAGAGAGACTCGATTGCCGCTATAGGCATGCTTTTGGAAGGATCTTCCTCGAGGAGACGAGAGTAATGACCAAGGATATCGAATTCGCCCATTTCAGAATAGACTATTCCGGGTTTAGACCCGGAATGTTTATCGCTTGGATTGGGGATAGTCTGGCCTTCAGATTTGAAGGAGAAAACACAGTGGCGAGAGGAGTTGTCGAGTTAGCGATGCTTCAATCAAAAACCAAGGAGATGAGCGAAGTGAAGAAATAAGGCACTCTGTAGGCAGTAGATAGGGAGGGAGGGGATGCGACGCGGCATAGGTACGGGCTATAATCAATAGAAGCACTTACGTGACATCCTGCCTGATTACGAGTGTGAATATGGGCAACGCGGTGGATAACGGTTAGGTGACAATTGGACTATAAAAATGTCTATGAGCACACCGAAGGCACCAGCGGAGAGGATCGATCGGGATGGAAGCTAAGAAACAGTGTATAGCGTTGAAGCACACGGCACACGGTGGGCAGAGAAGGGGAGATTCGAGGTGGGATAGATGAACAAATTATCGTGGGAGCGATAGAATGATTTTCCGTTTGGTGTTGAGCCCGCATGAGATGCATCCCGTTGTTGCCCCTCCATTTACCCCACCAATGCTCCAGTTCTAAACCTATTCTGGAATGTCACATACGATACAAGGGTAAGGACCTATCCAACGGAACCGGCAGAGCCTTATCTGACCGGTTAACATCCCATAACCGTTCCATAACCTGCTGGGCCCTGTGTCCCAACCCTGCAGAAAACGTAAGAAGAGGTCCTCTCGCTTCCGGCGATGGCGTGCCGACCACTGCGCTACTGCCGGTACCGGTACTCGAGTACCTATGATATGTGGATGGCACGAGCAGTGCTACAGTCTAAAGCACCGTACAAGAGATGCGGCGCATCAAACCATCCACCGAAAAGTAGATATCAGAGGCAGGATATCACGCCCTGTGAAAGTGCCAGCAGTCTAAGCCCATGCTGGTATTCCATCGCTACCGCATTTGTCGGTAGGAGAAACCGCTAGGTGATTCGCCAGACCGCACCCCAGGAGGGTTGTTGTATCCATGTGTACTCGAGTACGGTACTTAGTACTGTATCCGCCCGAGTGCCAGCAGCTACTTGTGGTATCGCGCGGTTCAAGTAGTCTATTCGAGCACGGTACAAGGTCGGGCAACAAGTTATGGAGCAATTATTTGAGGTCTACAAGTACCAGCCCGTTCCACCCCCGCTGGTCCCGGTTAATGGGTCCCTACCCCTGCACCAGTGCATACTCGAGTACTCGTACTGTACTAGTACTTGTAGGGCACCGGCAAATGCTCCTCCATCTGATTGATTCAGCCATCCGACCACCCTATTTATCCCCGTGAATCTTGGTCCAACTCACGCCCCATATGTACGACGCTCAAGCTCCGCTTACAATATCATACCCGGCACCATCCACATGATAAGCTTCTCGGCAACAATACTGTAAATTCTCGGGCTTGTGAAGCTTATCAACATTCGGCAAAGGTTAGGGCATAAACCCTCCTATGAGCCATACAGTGCTGGTACGATGGTATGATAGGTAATACGGTAGATAATAACATGACGGTCTCTAGCGATGCTCCGCCCCGTTTCCAGCGGGGGATTCTGGTGACACAACAGTCGGCTGACGACAACTCTACCTTCCCTTCCCTTGCCCGAGCTATCGCATTTTGGTCTTCCGACTTCGTATCTCTCAGGTACAATAACCTCATCTCACAACTGGCCACGTCCATCACACTCTCCCTCTCCCCCTCCCCTCATCCCCCCGACCCTCCCACTAAATACCGGTAGCCTTCCTCCCACTATTTCCAAAAGAGCCCCCCCACACATATCCCTTTCATCATTCCTCCTCCCAACACGCCGTCGTCTGCGTCCGAGTGAGTGTAGACGATAGTCCGGTCATCGGCTAGATCATTGCGAGAAGCGAGATCCCCTTTTGAAGGAAATAATGTGTTCCTCTGATTGTTTCTTGGCCGTTTTGGCTGTCCTCTTCCCTCCGCTTCCCGGTATGGTATTCCATCCCGTCGTTTGGAGGTGTTCTCCCGCTATCCTACTGATGACGCATCCTGGGGTTTAGTCTGGGTCAAGCGCGGTATCTGTTCGGCGGACTCTCTCATCTCGTTAGCCCTGTGTTGCCTTGGATGGGTCAGTTTCGGCCCCGTTATCCGCCGCGTGTTGGATTACTGACGGGTCCACTACAGTTCCCCGGCCTCCTTCACTCCTGGTACATCATTTCGAAATACCCCGACCCATGGGATGCCACTTACGCGCCGCTCGCACACGAATCGCAAGGCACTACTTACTACTATCATCGGGTCGCGCCCGCTCAGCACCCCGCTCACTCCTGCACCCATCAGCCACGCCCCCAGTATCAGCAGCCAAATCCTCAGTATAGCACCTTCCAAACCGGAAATCCCGCGCCCGCAGGTGCCGAGAATAGCCAGCCACAATATACTGTGATCCAGCCCGTTCCCGCGTCGCCCGCCCCCGCTGGGAATAGACAACCGGAGAGGTACACCAGCCACGAGCAACAAACTCCCCCGGAGACACCAATGAATGGCCCCGGGGGCGAAGGGAGTAGCATGCACGTACCGTCTGGCGAGCCGCCTAGCTATGCCAGCATCGTCCAGGGCGATCACAAGATCCAGACCGATGATTAGAGGATGTGGGGGAACAAAGCTGTAGATTAGATGGTGAAGGGTGGTAGGTACTCGGGAAAAATCGTTCTCCTATCTTCTCATGTTTGCTCCTCCTGACCTTTCGTTTCTTGTTTTACTTTGGGGTTTTCAGTTTTTAATTATTTCCTCTGCTGCTGTTTGATATCAACTACCGCTGCTGGGACAGATGGGGGGGGGCTTTTTAATGCGGGAACGGTGATATGTTCTGTGATTTGGGTTTTGGCGTGTTTGGATACGGTTCGGTTCTTTCAATACTACTTCAGTTTTTAGTTTTTCAACTTTTCACCCCACTCATTCCATCCCTTCCATCCTGTAGTGTTTTCCCATGTAATATCCTGTTTGTGGCTGCATCTCTTGCCCGGCAGCATTTCGCCTGAGGGTGCTCCGATTCAATGAGCGTCTGCTCGGGAAGTGAATTAAACCTCACTCGGCGCTTTTACAGTAAACAAGCGTTGATAATTACTCACCCTTCTGTAATCCCAACAATCACTCGTGACGTTGCGGGTAGTTCCACCCTGAAAACGAGATATGCTATGTGTCAGCACGGTCAGAGTTGCAGGGTAGGCTCGGTACGAGTAGAGGGGTGGCTAGCCCCTCCTAAGGGGGTCATGACGATCGAACTTCTGCCTATCCGTATGATACACCGCTGCTGCTGCTGCTGTTAAACGCCAACACCTTACCCACTCCCTTCCCACCGACCATCCATTCACCATTAACCATTAACCATTAACCATCAACCATTATCACCCCCCCAAAAAAACATCTACTCTTGAAACCTTTGCCTTGCAGTAAACGCCTTATTCAACGAGGCCATTGTCCTGGTCCATTCCCCCCCTCAAATTCCCACTACCATCCCACCTCCAGCCCCGAACAGGATTCGCGTCAAGAAACCAGAGCTAACTGGTTCCACTGACTCCTGCTTTCCTCACCGCCACAAACTGTCGAAGAGAAAACTTTCATCGGAATTACCGGTTCGTCCTGGGAAACAGATCATGACGGTAAGTTAATACCAGCTGGGTGAACTCTTTTCACACAGACCACAGCAGCCAACTGATGCCGGCTTCCCAGGACACCTCTTCGAAAATGCAGCTAGATTCGCCGGCTGATACCGCCACCGGCACCATCGACGAGGGGCTCTACAGTCGCCAACTGTAAGTTGTCCCTATCGTCAGGGGCATCGGACTCCCAAATGTTCGTCTACTCACTCCGGTTTCCTTGATAGTTATGTTCTCGGGCACGAGGCTATGAAACGCATGGGTCAATCGGATGTCCTCATTATCGGCCTAAAGGGACTAGGCGTCGAAATTGGTAAGCCTTACTTCTCTCCTGTAGGATTAATGCCGCGGTTTCTCGCCACTTGCCTCGGCGGCGTGTGTTCCAGATTATTAACGCGGGTCTATAGCGAAAAACATTTGTTTGGCTGGTGTTAAATCCGTTACTCTTTACGACCCCTCCCGTATCGAGATTTCAGAACTCTCCTCCCAGTATTTCTTCCAGGTATCGGATGTCGGTAAACAGTCTGACGAGGTTTCTGCGCCTCTGCTTGGAGAGCTGAATACCTACACACCTGTATCCGTCCTGCGCTCAAATCCATTCGACGATGTTGAGCTCCTTGGTAGATATAAGGCTGTTGTAGTCGCCGGAATACCTCTTCCTGCTCAACTTGAGGTCAATGAGTATTGCCACAGGAACAAAATCCCCTATGTTTCGGCGGAGACTAGTGGGCTGTTTGGTAGTATATTCTGTGACTTTGGCGAGGGATTTACAGTCATCGATCCTACTGGGGAGAATCCGGTTGCTGGGATTATCGCTGGAATTGATAGTTCTGGACTCGTCACTGCGCTGGATGAGACCAGGCACGGTTTAGAGGATGGGGACCACGTTACATTCAGCGAGGTCCAAGGGATGGAATCACTAAACGGAGCTGAATTCAAAATTGAAGTTAAAGGTAACTAGCTCCCTCCTCTTATTTAAATCTGCGCTAACCATATCGGAAACCCCCTAGGGCCATACACATTCTCCATTGGCGATGTCTCATCTCATGGGACATACGATCGCGGTGGTCTTTACACCCAGATCAAAAAACCAAAAATTATCAATTTCAAATCACAAGCAGAGCAACTAAAAGACCCCGAACTGCTTGTTACTGATTTCGCGAAGTTCGAACGACCTCTGCAACTTCACATTGGCTTCCAGGCCCTTCACCAATTCCGCGAGAAGGGCGCCTTGCCGCGACCAATGAATGAAGAGGATGCGGCAGAAGTGTTCAAGTACGCTACTATTATTGCAGACTCGCTTGGAGAGCTGAAGCCTGAATTGGACGAAAAACTCATCAAGGAGCTGGCATATCAGGCGAGGGGTGATCTTGCTCCGATGTGCGCTGTTATCGGAGGCTGGGCAGCGCAAGAAGTTGTTAAAAGCTTATCCGGGAAGTTCGGGCCGATTGTGCAGCAGGCGTACTTTGACTCCCTTGAGAGTTTGCCCACCTCGGTACCACGCACAGAGGAAAATACTCAACCATTGAACACTCGCTACGATGGCCAGATTGCTGTTTTTGGGAAGGAATTCCAGGATAAGATTGCCAATGTTAAGGAATTCCTTGTTGGTGCTGGTGCTATTGGCTGCGAGATGTTAAAGAATTGGGCGATGATTGGCTTGGCCACAGGTCCTGAGGGCAGAATCTCGGTTACCGATATGGATTCAATTGAGAAGAGTAATCTCAATCGCCAGTTCTTGTTCAGGCCACAGGATGTTGGCAGATTAAAGAGCGAATGTGCTGCGGCGGCCGTTCAGAAGATGAATCCCGATCTCAAGGGGAAGATCAATACCCTGAGGGATCGTGTAGGGGCGGAAACCGAGAATGTTTTCGATGAAGGCTTCTGGGAATCCCTGGACGGAGTGACAAATGCTCTTGACAATGTTGAAGCACGAACATACGTTGACCGCAGATGTGTTTTCTTCAGAAAGCCGCTTCTCGAGAGCGGTACTTTGGGAACCAAGGGTAACACTCAGGTTGTCATGCCCGGGCTTACTGAGAGCTATTCCAGTTCACACGATCCTCCAGAGCAATCCTTCCCTATGTGCACCGTTAGAAGTTTCCCCAACAAGATCGAGCATACAATCGCCTGGTCCCGTGAGCTCTTTGAGCAGTACTTTGTTCAGCCTGCTGAGAATGTTAACCTCTATCTCTCACAACCAAACTTCTTTGAGGCCACTCTTAAGCAAGCCGGCAACCAGAAGCAGATTTTAGAGACCATCCGTGATTACCTCGTCTACAATAAGCCACTCACATTCGAAGAGTGTATTGTTTGGGCTAGACACGAGTTTGAAAAGCAGTACAACAACAATATCCAACAGCTCCTCTTCAACTTTCCCAAGGATTCCACAACATCTTCGGGCGCCCTGTTCTGGAGTGGCCCAAAGAGAGCTCCGGATCCATTAGCCTTCAGCCTTGACAATGAGACCCACATGGCCTTCGTCAAAGCTGCGGCCAACCTCCATGCCTTCAATTATGGCATCAAAGGAAACGCAACCGACGAGGTTTACCGCAAAGTCATTGGGGATATGATTATTTCCGAATTTACACCTTCCTCCGGAGTCAAGATTCAGGCAAGCGATGCAGAGCCTGACCCGAACGCTGCCCAAACAGGCTTCGACGATGAGGGCGAAATCCAGAGAATTATCGAGAGCCTGCCACCTCCGAGTGCGCTTGCCGGATATAGACTGGTTAAGGTAGATTTTGAGAAGGACGATGATTCGAACCACCACATGGATCTCATCACTGCTGCGTCAAACCTCAGGGCGCTCAACTACGGTATTCCTACCGCCGATAAGCATACTACGAAGGGGATCGCTGGCAAGATTATTCCTGCTATTGGTGAGAAGTTACATTTCTTGTCCCGTGATACTGCATACTAATCGATGGAATTTGTATCTCTAGCGACAACAACCTCCATGGTTACCGGTATTGTGTGCCTCGAGCTCTACAAGATCATTGACGGGAAGAGTAAACTTGAAGACTACAAGAACGGATTCGTTAATCTTGCCCTTCCCTTCGTGGCTTTTAGCGAGCCTATTGCTAGCCCGAAAGGCACGTACCAATCGAAGGAGGGAGAGGTCACCATCGACAAGATCTGGGACCGGTTCTACTTCGATCACGATGCTACCCTACAGGAGGTGCTGGATGTGATGGCCAGCAAAGGCTTGACCTGTTCTATGGTTAGCTGTGGTGTTAGTCTGCTGTACGGAAGTTTCTTCCCCCAGAAGAAGCTCAAGGACAGGCTTCCGATGAAGTAAGCATATACTCCTGCATCTACATAAGTAACCACAAGGGCGATACTAACACATTTCATAGGTTAACCAAGCTCGTGCAAGAAATCTCCAAGAAGCCTGTCCCAGCACACACCAAGAACCTCATTCTCGAAATTTGCGCCGACGACGAAACCGGGGAGGATGTAGAGGTCCCATACATTTGTGTTTGCATTAGATAGGCAGAACTCTGTGACGTGAAAGATACCGTCTGCTCAGAGAGATTCCTGTTTTTGTTTTGTTTTCCTCTTGTTTTTCCCCTTGTTTTTCCTCTCCCTAAAGGTAATCTCGGTCCTGTTCGAGAGATTACGAATTTTGAATGGTTTCATGTCCATGTTCACTACTGTCGACCTTGTCGACTTTACAATAGCAAATAAACAAATATTCTTAGCCACCCTGTCTGGGCCCGGGTGGTATCGTGCTCAATCCCGGGGCCGGCGTGATACCGAAATCAACCCTTTGGGGTGCACCCACTGCGTCATCAAGCACCATCCCAAACCGACGGATCGCAATACGATTCTGCCCAAAAGGAAACTCCCTTCTTCATTTCATATAGTGCGCACAATGATTCAGCGTTCACGCACAAGCAAAACAAGGGGAAAACGAGGATTTCTCCCTCAAAAGAAACACCTGACTACGCCAAGGTGGGGGAGCAAAAAAAGACAAAAAACAAGAAAGAGAGACAAGGAAGGCGGGGAGAGTAGATACAAAAGCGATCTTCGTAGAAAGGAATTTTCCGACAAGCCTAATCATCCAAAACGCTAGCAAACTTCTCCATCATGTCGTTGTATAGCCTCTCGTACCTTCCTACAATGACCTCTTCGCCATCGTCGGGAATCTACATATTCTAGTCAGCATTCGCTTCTTTTATTTCAATCAATCAATAGTACAAAAAAAAAAAGACTGGTTACCTCAAACTTCATAGACCGAAGCTGGTGTTGTATGTCTGACGTCGCTTCCCTGATCTTGGCCCAGCTGACACCAGACTGAACTGCCTTCTGAGACTCATCGTAAAAGCCCATCATGGCCTTCATCATCCAGAGTGTCTTCCAGATAGGACAATACTGATCGTGCTTGGAATATCCGTTCTGCTGGAGAAAGTCTTCCTTGATCAGGGAGCTTACGTCTAGGGTGATCTTGTCAGGGTCTGAGAGGGCGGATTTTCCGACTAGCTGGACGACTTGGTCGAGCTCTTCGCTATCGGAAAGACTGGAGGGATTGTTAGATTTGCGGGGTTGGCGAAAGCGGTAAAGAAGGGGGGTTACAGTTGTTTGATCCGGTCTCGAAGAACAGGGAAGTCGGAGAAGTTCTTTTGGTAATAGCCGTCCAGGACATTGGCGTATTTGCTGTAACTGAGAGATGTGTTGATGCTTGGGAAATGCTTGCGTTGAGCGAGTTTCTTATCGAGCCCCCAGAAAACTTGCACTATAGGAAACAAATTAAACTTAGTTTAGGGGTCCGAATTCTCCACATGCAAATTACAGGGTGGATAAATTTAACCATACCAATACCAAGGGTGGCAGAAGTAACCGGGTCAGAGAAATCACCACCGGGAGGAGAGACAGCACCAATAATACAAACACTTCCCTCCCTATTGGGGCTACCAAGAGCTCTAACCTTTCCAGCACGTTCGTAGAAACTTGCCAATTTAGCACCCAGGTAAGCGGGGAAACCTTGATCAGCCGGCATTTCCCCGAGGCGACCAGAAATCTCACGAAGGGCTTCGGCCCAGCGGGAAGACGAGTCAGCCATCATTGCAACATCCTTTCCCTGATCACGGAAGTATTCTGCAAGCGTGATTCCGGTATAGATAGATGCTTCACGCGCCGCTACAGGCATATTGGAGGTATTCGCAACGAGTGTTGTCCGTTTCATGATGGGCTCTTTACGACCATTAATCTCAATAGAAAGCTATAATTGTCTATTAGCTTCCGACCCTGACACAAGTTTCAAGGCAGCTACAACCTCAGGGAAATCCATCAAGACCTCAGCCATCTCATTGCCACGCTCACCACATCCAACGTAGATGATACAGTCGGTGTTGGAATATTTCGATACAGACTGGGAAATAACGGTTTTTCCGCAACCGAAAGCTCCGGGAATAGCCGTTGTGCCACCTTGTACACAAGGGAACAGAGCATCCAACACTCTCTGGCCAGTCAATAGTGGGTAATCTGCTGAAAGTTTCTCCGACACTGGTCTAGCCATTCGCACAGGCCAAGTATGCATCATGGTAAAGTTGTGCCTCTTGCCTTCGAACTCAATTTCAAGAACCGTATCCTCCAAGGTGTACGATCCCTTATCAGAAAGGTGAGTGATGGTACCCCGAGCACGAGGTGGCAGAAGGATTTTGTGATCATCAAGAAGTGAGTTTTCGTAGACACTCCCGAAGATATCTCCTCCCGTAATGTGATCCCCGACCTTGAGACCTCCGGGATTGAAGTCCCACGATCTCTTACGATCCAGAGCAGGTATTGAGATACCACGAGGAATGTAGATACTGTTCGAAATCTCGTTAATAGTCTTAAGAGGCCGTTGAATCCCATCGTAGATGGTCTCCATCAACCCAGGGCCAAGCTCCACGGAGAGGGGCTTCCCGGTGCGCAATACTGGATCCCCAACAGTTATACCAGCTGTATCCCCATAGTTAGTCCCTATCATAGCACCGGAAGCGTTGTGGCGTCCGAACCCGTTTCCTCGTAAACCTGAATCGTGGCTTTGTCGGCTTCTATTCGAATGACCTCCCCAACTAGCAAATCATGTCCAACACGGACCTAGAGGTAAAAACGTTAGTAGAAACTTAAGTACCGTTATTTCGATAGAATAAGCCCACCAGCTCGTACATGGCACATCCTATCATGTTCTCTGCCACCACGACTGGCCTAGTTACTCAGTTTGTCAGCGGATGCACTGCGGGGTAGCTTTGATCCCAAAAACCATCTCATTCCACGCACCCAGAAACTGAGAAAATTGAACCTATGTGATCATGTCAGCACTGAAGTTCTCGAGGAGCCGGAGAAAACATCGGCTGATTGATGACATTGATTGAGGATAATTAAGATAGATAGTTCAATAAGATCTTACCATAATCGCCTTCCTTCGCGTTCTCTTCCGCCTTTCGTGCCTCCGCGGTTTTAGACTGCAAGTTACAAGTGAGCAAGCTGATCGGTATTTATTGTTGGTAGGACGCACCATTGTTGGGTATCTGGACGTTAAAAAAAAGTAAAGTTGGTTCTCCGAAGGAGGATTGTATCTTCAATCCGGCACAGTGGAGCATGCAACCGGTGGGGATATTCCGCTTCAGCAAACAATAGGATTGTTCATTCCGTCCCACCACATCATGGGCTTGCAATGGTATCCTTCCTACGCAGGCTTCTGTATCTCGTCTCACGACAACCCCGCCGTGCGCATACTATGAACGTTGATAAGGGTTCAGATTTATCACAGCCAAAAAACAATACTTCCTACAAATTTACGTTATAATAACCTTCCAATAGAGTATTATACGATATCACATAAATTTTGTGGCACCCTCTTTCCCACTTTCTTCATCTAATACGAGATCATTACCGTATGGTTGTTTCTCATTCCCGGCTTCTCCACGCACCCACCACTAGGGGACATTCAGCAAGCGAATTCGCTTCTACTCGAGCACACTTTTTTACTCGAGTACCGTACTGTACAGAATAGAGGTAACTCCCACGGCAGCTCGCTTCCCCAGAGCCATGAAAGCGCCTCAGGCATAGGCCGGAAGATGCAGTGTTATCAAAGAGGACCGTATTTGCTTTTGGACCACATCCGAAAAATTCAGAATCGAACTGCCATTCCCAGGTAATCGCCCAAGAAGAACAGCCGATCTCAAACTCCACTGGGCAGAAACCACTTGTCGCCCACCACACCATTTCGACAGATACATGGAAGGCTCCACGATGCTTCGAGAAAAGGAATCACTCCCTTCCTCTCCTTCCTTCCCATTCTCCTCAGCTCCCCTCCATCCCGATGAGAGCCCAGGGGTTGACAGAAGGCAGCTAACGTAGGACAGGGCGCCCGATTTCCTCTAAAAAACATCCATATGGTCGCCATACTTTCCCCCGGTTACCCGCATTACATGAGGGTTCAAAGAAAATAAATAAACCATGGCGAATCATAGGATGCCTGCATACTGTAAAGTCTCTCATGTGAGCAACGACCCATGCATGTAACATTAACTGAATCGAGCATGTTAAGCACACAACGTTGATCGGATTTGCGGGAAAAAGGAAACCGAGTTTCCATTTGAGGAGGGTAGGTTTGCATAGAAACAAGCTGTTGGCAATCGCTTCGGTTCGGGTGTTGAGAATTGCATTTTCTCAATACCCGAGCAGATTGTGCTGAGAATTTAATGCTCGAGTGCCGGTACTTGTATGCGTCCCCCTTATCGTATGTCAAGCTTGACAGGTAGACACCTGTTGGTTCTATACCGGTGCTTGAGTACTGGTGTCCGCAAGTCGCGTGTTAATCCGATGTCACTGATCCACATTCCGTGATAGGGATACGGATTTTACTGATTTGTCGTCATTTATCGCTCCCGAAGGTGCGCTATTGGTTTCGCAGGACAATCCCTCGTCAGGTTTCCGGAGAGCCAATGCAGGTAGCACTGGCAGCTAAAGCAACCAGCGGTGAATCGACAGCCCGGGAAGTTAGTTGAATATCTTTCATGCAGCGCAGAACCTTCTGCCCAGTTCATCCGCGTCCATCAACAATCCTTGAACAAAAGAAAGGTAAGCAGCGAGGCGAGCCAATGGGAGCATCAAATGTGATGCGCTGTTGCATTGCGGTTGGAATTTAACGGGTCCCGATTCCCGCGGATAGGAGCTGAGCGCAAAGATAACGGCAAGCAAGCGGCCATGTATAACATTGAAAATTGGATGCTTAATGCCCAGGTTAACCGGTGCGGGTGCCAAAGGGAAGGGTATCGAGAAGAAACAGAAGCTCCCAGGATCGACACCGACTCGAGCCCCTATCAATTGAAATGAGAGAATGAAAATACCGGAGGCCCGACCCGAACAGACCTGGTAAGGAGGTGCTACAGGCAAGCAATGCACAGTACCGTTTATCGAAGCCAATATCTTGTGCGTGCTTTTGCGCCTGCGTTATGTGGGAACGGGGGCATCGGTATGAAGATGAATCTGTGGGAATTAGTAACGTGGTAAATACCGTGGGGGGGGTTTGGTTACCATGCCGAATCGGACAATAGCGCCGTTCTGTCCGTTCTGTCCGCTCTGTGTTCAACCTTCAAAGCGCTGCCTGAGCGATGAGTGCCCACCAAACTTCCGGTTCTTCTGAGGCAGCTCAAAGGCTTCCCACGGGAAGGCCCGTAGAGGACAAAACTGGAACAATCGAGATCACTGGTGATCTACTCGAGTTTATTCCACTCGACCCGCCTGTCACGAGCTCTGGAGCAGAATTACATAAGCTTATAAAAGGCTTTTGTTAGTGCCCCCATTTCTCCTCCACCTCTCTCACTTGCACACACATTCATGTGCCCAATTCCCCCGCAGACGCACTTTGTCTAACCCTGTTAGGGCGCCATTTTCCGATCCGTCGTTCTCTCCCACTTTAGTTTCTTCTCCCTCAACCTTTCTCCTGTTCTCCCTTTCCTCACAGGTTGCTTCCCACAAGCTTACAATCCTACCGGTATTGTGCCCTGTCCAGTTGCAACTCGTCCCAACCTCTCTCTCCCTCTCTCCTCACTCCCCCCATCCCTTGTCCCCTCTCCTCCAGCCCTTCGACCATCTCTCGACGCTTTTCTTTGTATCCGGTGAGTTTCTCCCCCGGCTGCCTCCCTCGTATATTCCCGCTGCTATTGCTTGCTTGCTGTGTGTTCTGCCTCGCCCGTACCGCTGCTATTTGGTTCTGCGCCCCAGTCCCGTGCTTCTGTGTTAAAAAAGAAAAAGAAAAAACAAGAAAGAGGGTATTGAGCCGCCAAAGACATCCTTGTCGTTCCCTTCCACCCTAAGCGCATCCCTTCTCTCCCGAGTAACCTGAGTCTCTCTTACCAACTTCATCCCCTCGCTCGCCTCCACTCACCTGTACTCGAGTACTCATCCACCCCCCTTCCCGTTCTCTCTCCCTATTTGGGGCAGTTCTCTTCTATATCAAGAGTCATCTGAAGGACCTTTTCAGCTAACGCCTCGGAAGAGAGAAAAAATAATAAGGCAACCTCTCGTTCTCGGATATCCTCATAGCAACGCGCAGGTAAGGGGCTCAACCTAAGGCTTCCTCTATCCACGATTGGGGCGCGTTCGTTTGCCTTGCATCGAAGCCTTCTGCTCACATCTTTCTCAATAACTCTAGATCCGCTCCCCATTAGTCAATTCTGAACAGGACTCGCACTATATAAGCATCTCGGTCTTCATCTTCAGACAGCACGAGTGTAACAAACAACTGTTGAATTCTTGCTTAGTTGAAATTAAAAATAAAAAAAAGACAATGTCTCCCGTACGTGTACCCCTTATATCACCGTCCCAACACATTGACCTCTTTTTGCTTCGTGAGTTTCTATTGAATATCCATGTCGTGTTTTTGCTTACGAAAGTTAACCCGTATTTCTGTTCGCACAGGCTCAGTTTCTTCGAGAGTATAAACTAGTGGTAGTAGGCGGCGGTGGTGTCGGAAAGTCTTGCTTGACTATTCAACTGATTCAGAGCCATTTCGTTGATGAGTATGACCCGACTATTGAAGGTATCCCTAGCCCTATGTTTTCTTCCCATGAACTGACCTAAGTCCCGACGATCTTAATGGCTGATTCAGCTAACCAATTTAGACTCCTACCGCAAACAATGCGTTATCGACGATGAAGTCGCACTACTCGACGTCTTGGACACAGCTGGTCAGGAAGAATATTCCGCAATGAGAGAGCAGTATATGCGCACCGGTGAAGGCTTTTTACTTGTGTACTCTATCACTAGCCGTACAAGTTTCGAGGAAATTGCCACCTTTCAACAGCAGATCCTCCGGGTCAAAGACAAAGATTACTTTCCCGTAATAGTCGTTGGAAACAAGTGTGATTTGGACACGGAGCGCGCCGTGAGCCAGCAAGGTAATCAGCTCTACCTAATTCCTTGAGCTCTGACCTCTGCTTACCCACCGCACTCTTACAGAGGGTCGCGACCTCGCCCGCCATTTCAGCTGTCGCTTCATCGAGACCTCCGCCAAGTCCAGAATCAACGTAGACGAAGCTTTCTACAACCTTGTGCGAGAGATACGCCGTTACAACAAGGAGCAATCTGGTGGCTCAAACTCTCCCGGCGGTGGGAACATGAACAGCAATGGTGGCGGTGGAAATGGGGGCGGCGGGGAGTACGGCAAAGGTGCTGCTGAGAAGCACTCTGGATGCTGTGGTACTTGCATCATCTTGTAGGATGGTGCTAAGGGGATAGAAATTGAATACTAATTTAACAGGATTCTCGCGGCGGAGCGTGGGGTGGTCCTCTTTGTGGGTGATTGATAGAATGGGGACTCGCAGGTGTATCGCGGGGGCGACAAAACTCTAACCGCTACGTGCGATACTCAGCTATTGACCATCTGCTTTATTCACCTTATATAATCCCTGTTTCATACCACAATGACTCCAGCATTCAGTACCTTATATATCTCTTTTGTTAGCAATGACAAGGCCGCGGGCGACAACGTACGACGCATCGCGACTAAGGTGTTTTCTTGTTTCTTTCTTATACCATTCCATTCACTACTCTTCTCTATGTAGTTTTTTTTTTTTACCCCTCTTTCTCGAACACATGCTTTTCTACGTCTCCTTTGTCCGCCCCTCTACAACGGACCGGCAGTTTAACGCTCGTCTTGCAATTTCTTTTTGATGTTTGTGCCTGCCGGCGATTCAGGTCGGGCTTTTTGTATTGCCTTCGGCTAAGAGTGCTAGAAGAGAAAAAACTTGGTGTGGGAAGTTTGGAGGAAAGCTTGGGAGGCGGTGAAAGTAATCATCGCGAGAGAAGACATGACAAAAAGCAATCTAACCCCTATCATACTGTAATTCACAACCCTCAAATTCATTCTCCGTGTATTTTTTTTCTTTTCTTCGTTTATTTTTCCCCCCCCCCACTTTTGTCTCCTTCGTTCCCCACCTCTTTTCAGTTTCTCCTATGATCACCCCTTCTTTCTCTTTTTTTTCTGCGGTGGCTCTCGTTGACAGCCCATCTGGAGTAAGCGATACAAGGGACAAAATTTCTCAAATAATGAAGTCAAAGTATTTTTTTCAAAAACCGTCGGGTTTCTTTCTCACGAGTGATTTTTCATGTCGTGTCTAGGCGTCGTTTTTAACACACCTCATGCACTACAGAGAGAACCCTGCCCTTGCATGTTATGCACCCCTCGCCCCTCCTCCTCAGCCACTTCATGGTTAGTGTCATCACCATCATACTTGAGTATATGCGGCCGACCAGAAGGTGCCGTATCGTGGATAGTACTCGTACAGTACTCGAGTACGTACTGCCAAACAACCGCGCATCACATACCGGTAAGCATGATTCTAGCTTACGGTACATAGCTTCCCGAACTCGCCTCCCTTTCTAAGAAAGCACTGTTTCTAGACTATTTCTTGCGGAGCAAAACCTAAAATTAAGAAATCACATGCCCCTTGGCGTACTTTTTTTCCTTTCTCCACACCTACCCTACCACGATCTACACTGCAGTGCAATGCAGTACGTCAGGGAGAACCCGGAATACGGCAACCGGTGGAAAGATGTGGTCATGTAGGTGGAGAGGGGTGAGGGGTTTGGAGTTTTTGGAATTATGGAAGGCACACAAGTGTGAGGTCAGTCCTCAAGGGGCAAGCTCTCCGGAGATGGAAGACCAAGTAACATGGAAGAAGGGGGATACTGAACACCCTATGGATGAAAGGTAGGGGTCTTTTTTTGTATTTTTGTTTTTGCTCAATTGCCCTTTCGATAGGTGCACCTACAACCGTCTTACCTGTGCCAATAAATGGCGTCGGTGTGCACTGATGTGTCGTCATTTTCTGGATCTTTATTCGCCGGGTCGCGCCGCAGGCGGATGAACGCACTCGCACTTTTCATCGCTACAAGAATAATACTCCTCGCCTTCTGCGTGATTAATTCTCCGAGTGATAATTCGTGATGGCACTTGTTGTGGGAAGTTGGTGGTTGCGGTGAATAAATGTGGTCTAACTTAGGACGGTTATATATCATAGTGGCCAGTCAAGGAATCGATCGAGGTTTATTGTTATACCTGGGATGCGCGTTTCAATTGTCATCAACTCTCAGCATCCCTCGCCATTTGAGGAAATCTTCCAAAAAAAGGTGTTTTGGTAATTACTCCCGTTGGGGGTCGTTATGACTCGCGCTTACCGGTATCATAGTTGGGAATATATAGGTCTATGTCCGGGTCTATGAACTCTCACATCATAAGTGATCCGCTTTACATTGTTTGGCCCCTTCACCCCTTATCATTACCGGTAGTCCTTTTCTCTATCTATCTCCTTCCTTCCTTCCTTCCTTAAATTTTTGGCTCTAGCCCCAAGTGGCGCATTCTATCATGGAATGATAATAATCGAAATTACATCCGCACAAACCGTTTGGCGGAATATTGCCTTTTTGGAAAAACACTTTTGCCTGAGGTTACGGCTACCAATGTGGTATCTTACGTGATGCTGGCGCGGACCTCCCCTTGGTCTCTTCTTGCACGATATGGCGAAGCGCTTAAAACTTGCCCCGAGCCTCTCAGCGTCCTGCAATTCCCCGTTTGTAAGTGCAATGGGCTATGGAATTTGATGAGAAGAATTCTGATTTGAAGGCCACCAGAATTCTATTTGATTTCCTTCCCTCGCATTGTATAATGTAGCGGTAATATTACTTGTACAAGGGAGGGTAGAGGAGGGTACCTTGATTAATTTTTTTACAAATCGCATGCCTGTCAGCGGGATTTGAATGGTGCCTTCTGCTCGCAGTTTTCTCATACGCCGGATCCTCGTATGGCCCTACCGCGGGAGAGGCGTTGCTCAAGTTGTAGGTAATGTCTGTGGGGAAATTGGCGGTAGCGGTGAGGTAGCACAGTAAGCTAAAGTGTCATCGAGCCAGCATTCATGATGCCTCAAACTCCACGATCGAATAAACAGATAATAGTAATCAAACAGCCCGAGAATCGAACTCCTACAGTAGCCTTCAGTTGAAGAAGAAAACCCCTTTCTATTTATAGCCCACTTGCCTCTCCCTACAAACAGAGGTATTACAGGATGCAAAAAAAACTGGGTACCGTACCGGTATGATACTGCGCCAGTTTTAAGCGCTTCGCGCGACAGTGGAGATTTTGGAGAAGCGCCAGCCGTTAGAAGAAAGAAATCTGAATGTGTTTGACACAGCGGGTTTCGCGGAAGTGACGTTATAGCAAGGGGGGGTTTGGGATAAGAGCTAAACAAGCATAACTTTAATGGCTTTCCCATAATACGAGCTTATGGTCGGGTCCAGTGCTTGCCATTGGCCCGTCCTGCATGGGCCTTAGACTCCCAAAGCCCATGGGCTTTTGTATGGAAATAGCTAGTCTTAGGGTTTGAGTCATAATCATAGTCCTAGACTGCCAATGGGGCATGTAATCTGGATAGTCATTCAAGTTTGCTCTAGAAAAAAAAAACCCCTCTCAGCCACAAGTCACTTCTCATCATTTATCATAATGAACGATCCAGCCAATATGTTACCTGTTACCCCTGAAGATTTCTATCAGTCACCATGCAGGATTTCAGGCATTCTCCACAATCCGTGATCTTTAAGTGTGATTTTTAAGTTATTGGGTATTAGCAACGCTTGCCATGGGCCAGGCCGGCCCGTGGGCTTTTATTGGCCTGTGGGCTGGGCCATGATGGGCCTTGGCCCACAAAAGCCCATGGGCTTGGTGGTGGCCCATGAGGCCCGTAGGCTTTCATTAGTATGTAAATTTGTGCCCTAAGGTAAAAACAACAATGGTGAATATTACCAGTAGCTGAAGAGTAAGGGCTTATATCAAGGTACTACAAGAGTGTATCATGTCTGTATTGGGAAAATTTGAAAGCAATTTCGTTTGTTGGGTAACCAGTTTCCTCTTAGATCGTGAACTTATTCTTTTATTACCACTTGGTACTGAATATCATCAGCATCACAATACCTGACGAGGCAGTGTGCAGCCACTGTCCTGCTCTTTCGTCAAAACCAGCTATGAACAATTATCCTAACCCTAGCCTTCGTCTTATGGGTTAGGTCAACAGAACCATTTTAGTCATTATTAATAAATCTACTCTGGCCCATGGGCCTGGTGGGCCGGGCCTATTAGTTAGGGGGCCAGGCCAGGCTTTCGTGGGCCAAGCCCAGCCCGGCCCATGGCAAGCGTTGGGTATTAGGACTTGGTAGGAAAGTAGGGCTAGTCATGCTAAAAACCCTGGCCTACAAGGCACCGTGGGCCGGGCCAGGATTTGGTGAGCCTGGCCCATAGCAAGCACTGGTCGGGTCCTATCGGATGGTGTATTTGAGTTGGGTGAGGGCTGGAGGGCGACGGCGTATCATACTGTACCGTACCTTGCTTTGTAGGCTTTGGAGCTATCGTTTTTACAGGAGGTTGTCGTGACACTTTTACGGCATCACGGTTCCCACATTACAGGTAATTACCACTTTTGCCCTATGATATGTATTACGATACAAACCGGAGTCGAGTTCGGGTCCTATCATACTCGATAATTCTGTTGCTTAGACCCTGGATGTCGAATACCGGCGCATAGAGAACCTCGTGGCTTGGAATTTGTAAAATACTCCTTCGGTGAGGTTGGCGAATGAAAAACTCTTCAGAAACCGGTTGTGTGTGCTTCTCTCACTCACTGCTGTTTTCAGGGGGGTACACGTCCCATGTACTTGATGTGTGGAAAGCCTTTGGGGATGATACGAAGGGGAGTTTGAGGCAGGTCTTCCACTTGATATTTGCACCTTTGTACTGCTGAAGACATGCCTAGTTTGCCCGGTATAGACGGGGCAGTGAATCTACCTTGGCCGGCCTTAATGCCGGTGTAGGAGCTTTGCTAGATTCATGAAGTTTTCTTAAAAGTACAAACAGCCAGCAGCTTATTATACAGTGCAAAGACAGTTAGCACAGTGCTTTCAATCCGTGTATTCACATAGTAAACATGGCTGTCACTTCCATGTCCCCCAGTCTTCTGTCTTCTCTCTTAGTCACTGGACTTTTGTTTCTAAATTTCATTACAGTCTTACAGGAGGATGATTCCTTGTAACAACACATTACTTAACTTTACGGTGGCTGGACTGTTTCTGTTAACTCCTCTTTGCATAATGGGCAGTTACATATGAGAACTTGTAGGATTATATTTGGGAAAAAAATATTACCAAGTACCTTTTCCTTGTAGATATTAAACAGTATGATATAATAAAGATAGATTGAATAGAAAATAAACCCCAGCATATATATCGACATCCCATATACCAACCTGATTACCCTCCCTCCCTCCAGGAAAGTATCAAAGCAGCGTCCAAAGATCCAAGGCCAACCCCCTCCCATACTTCACAAACCCCTGCGCAACCACAACCACAACCTCCCTAGTGGTAAGTGCACAATCCCTCGGTATAAAACACCAAAGCACAGTGCCGCCTGTGCATCCATCCGAACTTTGGCCCAAGGACGATAATAATAATAATAATAATAGAAAGGGGCAACAACCCACTCCCATGCATTCAAGGCGACAGCCTTCCCCCACCTGTGACGCCCTGTCAACGCCTCCCGGACCAAAACGCGTAATCTATAGGCTGCCATATCACCGCACGATCCCGGTCTTACACCGCACCGCACACGACCCAAACCGGGGAGACGGAAAGACATGTTGATCAAGGCGCCAGTATTGGTGCGGTATTTGCCGGCAGAACGCTGGTGGAAGGGAGAAAATGAGGGGAGGTCTGAGTGGGTTCCTGGGACATAGCTAAAGGTGGTTCAAGTTTTTTCTTGTGGCACCGTAATGTAGGGTGCAGTTTATTTTTTTCACTCCTGGGATGTTCGGTGCCGGTATTTGCGATGTGCGGAAAGAGTAAGGTTGTGGGAAGTGAGGGAAGTGAGGGAAGTGCCGGATTTTGGGTTTTGATTGGCTTCGCACTTGGTCACTCGGAATCACTCGTGGGGAGTTCCTAGCTAATTGCCGTTTCAGGGAGATACAAGCATTCGGGTGTGGATGCTGTAATTGGCTCCAGTGACGGGTTCTCCACATCCAGCTGTGCTGGAATTTTATATGATAGTACCGATGGTAGGAACCCCCGGCATTCCATAAACTGAAGATACTTTCTTTTCTTTTCTTTTCGCCCTTGGCTTTCCGCTGTGCGTTGTTATTTTTATTTTTTCCGTCTTCTGGTGCACTTTTTCATCGAGTTTCACTTGGGTCTTTATGTCTTACCCTACGTACCCCCCTACCCTTTACCACTGGAATACGAGCGAATTCCAGCATACTCGAGCACTCGAGCACCGCTATCAGAGGAGGCTTGCGCAGATAAGTGAAACTCGTGCACTGTTCCTTTCTCATCCGGATACCAATTGACGTCGTTGGCTACGAAATTTGGAAATCACATGTTTGCCCCGGTTTTCAGGAAATACAGAACGGCTACTCCGCCAGCGTCCAAAGTGCTAACTAGTTCTTCTCCCGCCGACTACTCCTCCTCTAGATAGGAACCCAGCTATCCCGGCGACCAACCAAGAGGGAACGAGGCGCCGGGAATGCGATGGAGGGAGAAGGGGACAGGAAGGGAAATTGCCACCCAAAGACAAGTTTTAATAATGTGCCAACGCACTAGGTCGCGATCACGGCAACACCGAGAGGGCTTCGAGTGATCGCCAGTGTCGGCCCTGCGTGTGTGGTGGGGGGACGATTGGCAATTGTAATGATGGTGGGAAGGAAAACCCTTCTCTTTCTCTTCGATCAACCAACCCTAAACAGATTCAGAAGCACAGCGTTGGTGGTGGTGTGGGAAGCTAGAGAGCGGGGTTTAGCTCGAAAATCATCGCTTAGACAGACTATAGTAATC